GATTACAAGGTTGTTGTACGTCCTAAATGGGTTAGTTTACATGGATTACAAGATTGTTGTACGTCCTAAATGGGTTAGTTTACATGGATTACAAGATTGTTGTACATCCTAAATGGGTTAGTTTACATGGATTACAAGGTTGGTGTACGTCCTAAATGGGTTAGTTTACATGGATTACAAAGTTGGTGTACGTCCTAAGTGGGTTAGTTTACATGGATTACAAGGTTGTTCTACATCCTAAATGGGTTAGTTTACATGGATTACAAGGTTTGTGTACGTCCTAAATGGGTTAGTTTACATGGATTACAAGGTTGGTGTACGTCCTAAGTGAGCTAGTTTATGAGCAAGATTATGAGGTCAGTGTACATTCTAAATGAGATAAGTTACAGGGATTGCATCAGATTATGACGTCATTATATATTCTAAATGGTTTAATCTACATGGAATACACTGGATTATGAAATCAGCATACATACTAAATTAGTTAGCTTACATAAGCTGCTTGTATTATACTTAGTTATAAAAGTACATAGTTACTGTGGATCAGTACTTTACCTCATAAAGTATGTCATTGATGTGTAAGGATAGTTAACAGCACCAAACCCTGATAATAATGCCATGAGAGTCACACCAATCACTCCAACTCTGCTGATACCTTGCTCAATGGAAAATATACCTAGGAAGACAGTAAGAGGCTAAATTACTCACACACAATTGATGGAAGCAAAATACGACTGACATCTTTCTTTATTCAATACTTTAATAATACAATGACATCTAACTGAGAATAATTAAACTATAACAATCTGTTCATCAACATCTGAGTTAGTATATTATAATCTATAACAATCTGTACATCAACATCTGAGTTAGTATATTATAAACTATAACAATCTGTACATCATCATCATCTGAGTTAGTATAATACAAGCTATAATAGTCTGTACGTCAACATCTGAGTTAGTATAATACAAGCTATAATAGTCTGTACATCAACATCTGAGTTAGTATATTATAAACTATAACAATCTGTACATCAACATCTGAGTTAGTATATTATAATCTATAACAATCTATACATCAACATCTGAGTTAGTATATTATAATCTATAACAATCTGTACATCATCATCTGAGTTAGTATATTACAAGCTATAATAGTCTGTACATCAACATCTGAGTTAGTATATTACAAGTTACAATAGTCTGTACATCAACATCTGAGTTAGTATATTATGAACTATAACAATCTATACATCAACATCTGAGTTAGTATATTATAAACTATAACAATCTATACATCAACATCTGAGTTAGTATATTATAATCTATAACAATCTGTTCATCAACATCTGAGTTAGTATATTATAAACTATAACAATCTATACATCAACATCTGAGTTAGTATATTATAAACTATAACAATCTATACATCATCATCTGAGTTAGTATATTATAAACTATAACAATCTGTACATCAACATCTGAGTTAGTATATTACAAGCTATAACAATCTGTACATCATCAACATCTGAGTTAGTATATTATGAACTATAACAATCTGTACATCAACATCTGAGTTAGTATATTATAATCTATAACAATCTATACATCAACATCTGAGTTAGTATATTATGAACTATAACAATCTGTACATCAACATCTGAGTTAGTATATTATAATCTATAACAATCTGTACATCAACATCTGAGTTAGTACATTATAATCTATAACAATCTGTACATCATCAACATCTGAGTTAGTATATTATAAACTATAACAATCTGTACATCAACATCTGAGTTAGTATATTATAAACTATAACAATCTGTACATCATCATCATCTGAGTTAGTATATTATAAACTATAACAATCTATACATCAACATCTGAGTTAGTATATTACAAGCTATAATAGTCTGTACATCAACATCTGAATTAGTATATTATAATCTATAACAATCTGTACATCAACATCTGAGTTAGTATATTATAAAATATAACAATCTGTACATCAACATCTGAGTTAGCATAATATAAATTATAATAGTCTGTACATAAACATCTGATCAACCTTGAGACTCAATTTGTAGACTTGTAGAAAGGTTTCCTGTGTTTAGAATTCAGGGATTGTAGGAATAGTTCTTACCATGTTTAGGACTCAAAATTGGAAATGGATCTCCTATCTTCCAAAAGAGGTACATGAAAAACAACCAAGCTGCCACTGTCAGGAGCTTGAGGACACTTTGTTTGACTAAGAAGGAATTCAAAACACAACAATACATTTGTAAAGTTACATCCATAAAAATATAATCATCTACTTGTTGTATAATTATTGAAAAGGTGTTTAAATCAAGATTAAATATTATGTTTTTCTTGCCATAAATAAACTTTGAAGTACTCTTTCAATGAATGGAGATTTTTTTATTTTTAGGCCTACATGAATAGAGTTAACACTAATTAAATTAGTAAGTACAGAATAAATACAAAAAGTAAGCTATTAAATGTACAATATACAAAAGTAAAAGCTCTGTTTCTTGATTTGGATTTAGATATCCTTTTTATTCTTCTTTGAATCTGTTTTATGTTTAGTTGTTATGTATCCTTAAATAATTCTCCAAATAGAAAAGCTTCAAATACAATTTTGCTTCTCTATTTCAATCAATAAATTTTGGTGTCCTACAAGTTATGATAGTTAATGAATATAATTCTCCAATATTAACTGTCTGCATCACCCTTCCTAATTCAAGCTTCTCATTTCCAATCAATCTTCTAATATAATTTAGTCAGATGACTTCCCTCAATTTTACCCACAAGAATCTCAGAATTAATAACAAAGGCCTGCAAATTTAAACTTCACAAAAGTTGTTTTGATTTTAATAATGGCTTTTCTGTAATTCAGCTACTCAGATTTTGAAAATAATATTAATTTTTTCTGTCACGTAAGGATTTTTTTATAAATCAGGAAGAAAAAAAAACACTTATTATTTCGTTTATCAAGATGAACATTTTTTATTATTATGTTTGTTAAAAGAAATACAAACAAACTGAATAAAAGGGAAGAACATTTATGTCAAGCGAATATGCATCCTCATTCATCCTGATTTTTTTTGTGAAATCTATGTCTTTTAGTCTCAAAACTACGTGTTGTGGTCTTTCTTTTATGTATTGTATCTGGAGAATCTCCTTTCAATGAACAGCAGTAATCTGCCATCATGATGATGTTCCACTTTCTCTGATACCTCCTCTCCATTTCCCTGATGTCTTGATGAAACCCTTCCCCTTGTTCTTCACTGACAGCACCAAGATTTTCAGGGAAATAGTTAATAAATGAGTGTAAGAAATTAACTTTCAAGCTCATATTACAACCCAACTCTTTGAATTTATCGAGCATGTTATTGACAATATTTTCATAATTTGGGTCCTTGTTGTTTCTCAAAAATTTGTCAATAACATTTTTAAAGGCAATCCACACTTCTTTTTCAACTTTCCTCATTGTTCTTTCTAACTGTTCATCTGAAGTCAATTTCATAATCTGAGGCCTAACAAAAACCCCTTCTTTAAGTTTTGCTTCTGAAAGAGCTGACAATTGCCCACATAGACTCATGTACATCATGTTCATGAGCAACAGGCGTTATAGCAGATTGAAGGATCGGATAAGAAATTTCCTTTTTATTTCTAGTGTTGTAGCCTCATACGTTACATAAGCAAAAATAGCAGTCATCTCCGTGGTTTCTAGGCTCACATCAGACCATTGGAATTCCAAAAGGCAAAGACTTTAGTCCATTGTCTCAACTCTTCAACACAAATGGTGCAAACTTTATGCAGAGCCCATGATTTGTCTTGGTCCACAAGTTTTATTCTAAAATGTGAGTAATGTGCTTTTTTTGATGAATTCTGTAATGTTTTGCCTTTGTTTCTTTAGAACAAACTTACCACAAATATAACTGAACATATTTGGGTCATTTACACAACCTCTTGTTGCCATAGTGACAAATAAATAATACTGAAAAAAAAAAAGTCAAAGTGAATGCACAAATAAATACTATCCAGAAATGACACGTCATGTGGCCTGTTGACCATTTATATACTAGTGGTGTGTTTCTTGTGGGTTCTAGAATGATCGATAAGACTCATGTCACGACTGGTCTAGAGAAATCTATAGCCAGTGTTTGTCAACATTTTAAGCACAACAAAATGTGACCTGATCTCAATGAAAAAGATTCACTTATGTAAAAGTACATATGATGTTTTGTGAAAAATCTGTATGTGATGGAGAAAAATGGATATTTTCAGATTCAGTGTACAGGAATTACTGTAGAACATGTAAAAATTTCAAGACAATAAAACCATCTCAGGCCTGTTTTATTTACCCAAAATGCATTTCTAACATACATCTAGCAGTTTTATTTTTGTTTTTTCACGATCTAGTTTCTGTCTAGTTTCTGTATTTACCGATTATCAAACACACATTCAAAAAACTTTTATTTTTACTCACCAAATCTGATGTTACTTAAGATAAAGTACCCAATATAAAAAGGCAACAAGAAGATAAGCATGAAAAGCATGGCATACAGTCCAATCTTCCAGTGTAAAAACCTGGAACTGTATAAAGATGTTATGAAAAATCTGGCAACAAATATGTGTTTAAACAACTCTATAAAATATGTGTTTGGAAAAGTTGACAATTTCTATATCTTTAGATTAAAATGTTGTCAACTGAATGAAATATATAATCTTTTAAGATACAGAAAGAAGAAGAGTTTGGTAAGTTTACAAAACCCAAGACATTCATGTACAAGGGGTCTTCTAAATGAATGACTGAATCTTTCAATTCCCAGGCCTCACTTGGAATACAGTATCCAGTTTTGGTCTACTTATCTTAGAAAGGATATTGACTTATTGGAAGAGGTTAAGAGGACAGCTACTAGGATAGTTCCATAGACAAAAGGGTTTACTTACAGGCAGAGGTTAAGATCTATCAGCTAAGTCAACTTATTATTCCTAAAGGTAAAAGGTGATTTTATTGAAGTTGACAACAATATCTAGGGGATGGATTAATAAAATTGACATCTCTGATTTTTTAGGCTATATTCTGAAAACAGGATGAGGGAACACAAGTTTAAGATTTATGAAAGACAAATTAGATTCTAGTTAAGGCAGTTATGTCTTCCTAACAGGGTGGCTAACATATGCAATGAGTTGCTGTCAGCTGTAGTGGAGGCCAGCATATTACAGGAGTTTAAGAGGGGAATCAATGACATCCTGAACAGTAAAGGATGGCTTTATATGCTAGTTTTTTCATCTTCAAATAACCCTGACACTGATCAGAACAAAATCTGTATCAAGTATGACAATTTTTTTAATTACAAATTTAAAATTCATTTTCAAAATGGCTTCCAAGATAAGTGAAATGTAACATAATATAATGACAGTATACAAATATTGAAGTTCAGAATATCACACATAAAATTATGAAGCATACCTTGCCTCCAGAACTCCAAGTATTTCAAAGATTATCAGTTCAAACATGGTACAGGAAAGTGCAAAGGTGATGGAAAAAATCAACTGAACTAGTCGATGATGGACCTATCAAAAGAAGAAAAGCTTATGGGAGATTAATATACACATGTACGTAGTGCCTACACACAGTACATATTTATATCTCCTACATCATTTATTATTAAATCATTTAATCAATGTACACAATTTTGTGGATCAGTACCTTACCTAGTACCTTACCTTAGTTACTGTGGATCAGTACCTTACCTCTAGTTACTGTGCATCAGTATCTTACCTATAGTTACGATCCACAGTAACTAAGGTAAGTACTGATCCACAGTAACTATAGGTAAGGTACTGATCCACAGTAACTTTAGGTAAGGTACTGATCCACAGTAACTATAGGTAAGATACTTATGCACAGTAACTAGAGATAAGGTACTGATCCACAGTAACTAGAGGTAAGGTACTGATCCACAGTAACTAAAGGTAAGGTACTGATCCACAGTAACTAAAGGTAAGGTACTGATCCACAGTAACTAGAGGTAAGATACTGATGCACAGTAACTAGAGGTAAGATACTGATCCACAGTAACTATAGGTAAGATACTGATGCACAGTAACTATAGGTAAAGTACTGATCCACAGTAACTAAAGGTAAAATACTGATCCACAGTAGCTATAGGTAAGGTACTGATCCACAGTAACTATAGGTAAGGTGCTGATCCACAGTAACTATAGGTAAGGTACTGATCCACAGTAACTAAAGGTAAGGTACTGATCCACAGTAACTAGAGGTAAGGTACTGATCCACAGTAACTAGAGGTAAGGTACTGATCCACAGTAACTAGAGGTA